TATGTGTATGTTAGACCAGTTTAAGTGTTTATGTGTGTGTTAGACCAGTTTAAGTGTTTATGTGTATGTTAGTCCAGTTTAATTGTTTATGTAGTATGTTAGACTAGTTTAAGTGTTTATGTAGTTAATAAAGCCTTACTTATATCACATTTGACGTTGTTCATTGTTTGCTCATAACTGGAGTCCCTTATCATGCAGATTTATGCTACAAGCTTTTTGTAGAATTGTACAGTAAGAAAGTTATTTCCATTAACCAGGAAATTAACGTTCTTAGAATTGACAGACAGTTGACCCTGAGAGGTCAGCTAAATATCTACAGTGGATCTAAATATTTATAATTAATTATAACTAGTTATGATTAATTATTCATATTTCCCCATGAGCTGATTCGCTACAGCATGTTGTTTTGTTTAATGAGCAATAGCTTTGCTAATGCAGTGCAGAAACAAGTTTGTTTTTTACTAGTGCTGTGCCAGCAGCATAGTCTTTTAATTAAACAACAGTTCGTTTCCATCCACTCAAAATCACACACTTTAGAGAGTAAACCTAAAATAAAAGAGCACATTTCACTGGAAATATTAAATTCATTGTGTTGTGACTAAAATGTTTTTTATGAGATTCTACATGGTTTATTCATTTAGATTCTATTAAAGAAATAAAGCTATAAAACCACTCAAAAATATGTGTAATATTGTTACCTTAATTTTAAGTAAATAGCACATAACTTTTACAGTGTAGATTCTGATGAAATATGAATTCTATTATTTGAAAAAGAGAGTAAAAGACAGATATTCACCACTTGCTCCTTTCTGTGAGGTTTATTTTCTTTAAAGAATCAACATTACAATTTTTAAGGCAACCAATTTACATCCACATTCATGTTAAATCAACTTCAAATTCAACGTTAATCTTTACTAACCTCAAATAAAGGAAATATCTATTTTACTGTACTGTTCAGATGCTAATGTTTAATAACATCATCTGTTCTGGAGTATTATCTAACTATTCTGAAGTTCAGCTTATCATCTAAATCATTTAAAACAAATAAGAATATAAAAACAGAAAAAGCCCAATAATCCCATTCAAGGAATAAAATACAAAGCATACTGATTGTCATTTAACTGAAGGAAAAGCCCAGTTCCACACATCATCAAATCTAGACCATTTTAACTTAAAGTTATTTAAATGTTGCAGTCGATAAACAACTATTTTTTCATAATTTATCCTACAGAAATTGTCTCTAGAAACTACATATAAACAGAGATTTATCTTCTTAGACTGAGAGAGGCTGTTGTACCCAGATGTTTACATCGATTATACACATTTCAGCTTAATCATTTTTTCTAATTCCTTTTTCATGGTGAGTACTGCATCACAAACCTGCAAATCAATCTGTCACAGATCCTACAAATCAAACAATCTTGCAAACCAATCATTTGTATTCGTTGTTTTCTTTGTCACTTAAGAGAAATATATACATTTTACAATTTAGCTTCTGTGACCAACATCTCATATTTGTGCATTTTTAACAATCAACAAGTTAATAAACTGAATGAAAACTATAAGATGATCAGCAAGTGTGAAGAAACAAAAACGTTACTTTTTCGATGTAATTAATATATAAGACAGATCATTCCCAGAAATCTTTGATTGTGTGTGTGTGTGTGTGTGTGTGTGTCTGTGAATGTGTGTGTGTGTGTGAGAGAGAGAGAGAGAGAGAGAGAGAGAGAGAGAGAGAGAACGTGTGTGTTTATGTGCAGTTTTCTAAGCCAGCAGGAAAAGTTTTCATCTCTCTTCATCTCTCACATGTCTGGTCTCCTAATATGCCAGAAAAATATATTTCACATGACTGACACAGTTACGGTGATGAATAAAAACACACCTACATCTTTATGCTTGTGGAACTGTATGAGCCGAGCTGTTTGAGCCGTCATCAGAGCCTAAAACACAACAATATTACAGTAACATCACAACAGACTGATCACACAAGACCTTTTAGATTAGCACCGCAATCATTTCTGAATCTATCCAGTGTCATAATTATAAGCTCTACATTAGAGAGAAAATGTCACAGGACAAAACTTCTATTTTAATTTACTTTATGATTTTATATTACAAAAACATTATATTATGGATTTAGAAATATGAAGACACTTCTTTTAACCACATCATGACCAATGTCAGAGTCCACTGTGATATATTTTTATTATTTGTATTTATAAGAAACTTACCGCTGACAGGTTTAAAGCCTGAAAACAATCAGAGAGGTGAACTGTAAGTGAATTTCATTCAACCACAAAAGTTACGTGATCAAATCTAAGACTACAATCAGTGAATACAATTTAAACTTCAAGTTCCTCACAAACAACATTTAATACATTTATATGCTATTTAAAATGTTGTACTTTATACAGTTTAAAAAAGTTAATTGAAGACATTTGAATCATTTGAAGGACTTTTGTGCCCGTCATAGAATTTGTCCTCACCTTTTTTCTTCTGATACACCATATATCCAGCAACACCAATGACCACCAGCAGAACAACAGCAGCAAGAGCACCGACAATGATGCCGATGGGAACAGACTCTCCTGTTTGATCAGAGAAAACATCAGTTTACTCACAAAGCCTGGTAATGTTACTAACCAGTGAAACTCTCAAACAGTGTCTGTGATTGTGATATATGCAGTACATTGCTATGTAGTGACAGCATGTTCACAATGTGCAACCATATAACAACAATACAGGCCTAAACATATTGTGTTTGTACTCTGTTTGTTTTGTGATTGTTTCCATTTTAATTTATTTTTCAATAAACTTCCTTATTAATAAACCAGTGATCTTTTGGGTTTATTTTTTTGGTGAGTCAAGACCTAATACAGTTGGTGGTTAATCTCAGGAGGGAGGGACTATATTTGTACTTCACTCATCTAATTTCTCTTACCATTGTTAGTCATGATCTCATTTGCTGTCTTGGTTTTGCCCTGATGCTCCACCACACAGCTGAACTTGTTCTTCTTCAGCTCCTCAGGTTTAACATTGAGGGTGCTTGTCTTCTGAAAGGTCCCGTCTTCATTGGGAAGAAGTTCACCGAGATCCACATCCTCATCATGATCTTGTCCATTTTTCATCCAGGAGAATGTTACTCCACTGGGGTAAAAACCTGTAGCATGACACGTGACTGGAGACGAGGAAGACTTCTGCAGCAGAGACACCTGAGGAGAGACTGAAGAGAGAGAGAAAATTGAAAACAAGTGATATTAAATCTCCAGCTGCTGCAAATGATCCAGAAAGAGTTCTCATTTCGGTAGAAAATATTGTTAACACCCGGTCATGCATGAAAAAAAAATACAGTCATGTACCGTGAAACCGGTATAATTTTGAAAAACACTGTGATATAAATTTTTGGTCATACTGCCCAGCACTAATGCATTTATATACCGTCACCGTCACTCACAGCCGCTCGCACGTGTTTTGCGCATGAGCCGCACGCAGCCCAAAATTAAACGGCTTAATTGACCATCGATAGCTTTAATCGATTGCATCTCTTATCGACAATTAATCGATCATCGATTAATCGTTGACATCCCTACTTTTAACTATTGTGTTTATGAAAATGATAACCTGGGGTTCAGTGCCCCTCAATGGTACAGTAGTGATAGTTCATGGCATGCAGGGCTCTGATCAGCAAACTAACAGTTACCAGCTCTGGATGTGGTTGCAACAAACCCATTAATTTAAGAAAATCTTTAGTAATAAGAGCCTAATAGTTTTAACTGGACACTGAGCTTTGCCACTATAACACATCACGCCTGCATCAGTTTATACTTTTCTATCCAGTTCATCAATTTAACAGGTTTAGATGAACATGCTCCTCCTGAACCTGTTTAGAAATCCATTTAAAAAATTGCCTTCATTATTAATTTCTACAAACAAACCACATGATCTGTTTTGCTTTAATCAAAACAATCTACTCCGAAAGAAAGAAGACATTTTTACAGTGATTTCTAGTGTATGGCTATATTTTCATATTTTCACTGCTGGATAAGATCTGATGTACCTGTTTTCTGCAGACTGCTCTTTCCATACTGCAGATACTTCTGCAGCCACTCGATGCACTCAGTGCTGAGGTACTGTTTGTCATTCTCAAGATTAGCTTTGTTATTGTTCCACTTCTGTGCACTGGGGATTCCTTGCTGCACTGGAGAAATATATCTTGACTCCTTCAGATCCAGATGCAGAAAGTCCTCTCCATCATATCCAAACTGACGGAATGCATTTTTTTCTCCAGTCTGATCATCAAACTCACAGCCGTACATAAGCTGGAATGTGTGCACACCTGAGGAACAGAGACATTGAATGTATGAATAATCAATTAATACAGTCAGAATAAAACCATCAGTCAGTCAGAAACATGTTTGACTCAGAATCAAATAAATCCGACTGAACCTATTTTAGTTTTTTGGCCTCCATTCTAAATAAAAATAATAATTTAGTAATATTTGAGTTATGAGTTTACTGACTAAATTTTTTATAAGAGAACAAGAACAGGTGCTGAGAAAGAAAAGACAATAAACAGACATGATTTATATTGTGAAATCTACACCGGTTACACACACAAATCATTCTGCACATACAGTGTACAGAATTGTTAAATTTTATTTAATTGTTAAAAATAAAATAAAATAAAAATTTGTGACTAAACCACTGAACCGCAATAGATATAAATCAGTGAACCAAACAGAAGGGGAACAAGACAACACACAGACAGCAGCCAATATCAGACCATCAGTGACATGAATGAGTGTTCATTTGATCATCGATGAGGTGACAAACATTCACTGCTCATTACTAAAGAAAGCACTTTTAAACCACTTTTAAAGTGGTTACAAAAGCTCAAAGTTTGAAAGTGATGTCCTTCAGACACAGATTACTGTTTGGTTGCTAGGGCATTTACTATAATGACCTGGGTGGTTGCTAGGGTGTTCTGGGTGGTTGCTAGGATGTTCTGGGTAGTTGCTAGGCAGTTGCTGTGCAGTTGCTAGGGTACTCTGGATGGTTGCTAGAAAGTTTAGGGTTGTTGGTGGATACCAAGCAGTTGCTAGGGCATTCTGTGTGGTTGCTACAGTGTTGCTATGTAGTTGTTAGGTCTTAGCATGTTTGCTAGCTTGTTTCTAGCATGATTTAACACACTGCTAACATGTTTTAGCATGCTGCTAACATGATTTAAAACATTGCTAGCCTGTTTTAGCATGATTTAACACATTGTTAGCATCTTTTAGCAGATTGCTAGCATGTCCTAGCCCTCTGGTATTGTTCATTTGGGGGTTATAATTGTGTTACACCTGAAATGTAACTTTTTTTTTATTTTTAGTAAAATCAATGAAATATATTTCTGTTCAATAATATTTTTTATTTTTTACTTTATATTTTGAGAGGATCTTATGGTACTAATTAATATTTATGCAATAGTTATTATCATTTTTTTCCCGTTGAAAAAAGAAAATTCTATTATTTTCATCTCGTCTAAAGCATCTCTGTTCACACATTTCACTTTTTCTCCTCTGTTTCTGAAGCAGAACCGGTTCATTTCTTACAAAAGAAGAACTAGATTAAAAAGATTGTCAAGACAAACTTTATCATTCTTGAGAAAGCAGTTTAAAAAGCCTGAAGTTTGAAGTCATTTTAAATTTCAATCACTTTTAAAAGCTTGAAGTTTGAACACCTGAATTATGAACTTATTTTCAGTAAAAGCAATGTAATATATTTCTATTCAATAATATTTTTTTATTTTTATTATGTAGTTTGAGAGAATTTTATGGTACAAATGAATATTTATGCAATAATTCTGATCATTTTTTTTTTAAGTTTGAACTAGTTTTAAATTTGAATCGCTTTTAAAAGCTTAAAGTTTGAACACCTGAAATGTAACTTTGTTTTATTTTCAGTAAAACCAATGTAATATATTTTTGTTTAATAATATTTTTTATTTTGAGATAATTTCATGGTACTAATGAATATTTATGCAATAATTATGATCAATTTGTTTTCTCATTGAAAATAATACACGTTTTTTTCTAATATTTTCATCTCGTCTAAAGCATCTCTGCTCACACATTTCACTTTTTCTCCTCTGTTTCTTTTTTTTTTTACTTTATTTTTATGAACTTCAACACAATAACAATCAAACAACACTCCTTCATGGGTACATACATAAATATTTTTCCCAAAGTATAACATAAAAAGTAAAATAAATTTCAGTCTGGTCAACTGGTGACGATATAAGCAAATATTTGTAAGCATGTATACGTGAATATTTGTGGTCATACATTCATAAACATAATACTCATTTCCTTAGGCTTACTATCAAGCAGCCGTTGATCCTAATTACATACATTTACATTAATGAATATACATATTTCACTTTGGCATTTATCTGTCTTCTCTCTGTTTTGATATATAGATTGTCCATTTTCCCCAGTGTTTCTTAAAAGTCTCTTCTTGCAGTCTCAACCTGAATGTCAGTCTTTCCATCTTGTAAATTTCTGTAACTATTTGTTCCCACTGAGTTCTTGTTGGGGGAGGCTGCTGGAGCCATAGT